TTGCATTTCCAAGAATAAACATTATCTGTATACTTAAATTTTATCCTGCTTGTCTTCTGATTATTATAAAACTAACCCTAGCACTGATCCCTGGGGCTCTCTGCCACTTACACTCTTCCATCTAGAGAAGGGCTTACTTATTCCTGTCTTTATTTTGTTTTATTTTTGTTTTATGAAACAGGGTCTTGCTCTGTCACCAAGCCTGGAGTGCAGTGGTACGAGCATGGCTCACTGCAGCCTCAACCTCCCGGCTCAAATGATCCTCCCACCCCAGCCTCCTGAGTAGCTGGAACTACAGGTGGGAGCCACACACCCAGCTAATTTAAAGTATATATTTTTTATAGAGATGAGGTCTCCCTATGTTGCCCTATGTTGCCCAGGCTAGCCTCAAATTCTTGGCCAGAGCCTTAAGCAGTTCAGGCCAGAGCCTTAAGGCCAGAGCCTTAAGCAGTCCTCCAACCTTGGCCTCCTGAAGTGCTGGGATTACAGGCGTGAGCCACCACACCCGGCCTATTCTTGTCTTTAATATCCATCCCCAAAACAGCTTCCCATTCCCAGTGAATAAACATTGCCTTTGATGCAGTGGAAACTCACGTTTTTAAACAGTTTTACATCTGAAATCCTGTTAAAAATTTTAAATGACAAATCACATCCATCAATATTTCCTTTCACTCCTAGTTTCAAATCAACTTTAAAATGCTTATGAAACCTTTGGTTTTCATCTCAGTGCATTATTTTTAGTGAAGCATTCCATGATCTTTGTGATCAGTCAGCATCTTTATTAAATACTGTACTCTGCACCTCAAGTAGAGTTATCGATCCCTCCTGCTTGCCATTGTGAATTAAATCACTGATTAATGGAAATGCTCAGGGTCCCTGCCACAGAACATGGTGTGCGTGATACTCTGTGAAAATCCATCAAGACAGATCATGCAAGTATAGTGGTAGAATTTGTTTTTGCTAGAAAACTCCACTGCTCAGAATGACTATCTTTTAATTCAGATTGAGAGAGAAGTATCACTTCTCCTAATGTCTTTAGTACCTAATACATTGGTAAATAAATGATTGCTGTGAACTAAATTACATTTGCCCCTACCCACCTCAAGATATGTCAGCAAACTGTCTAGAAGCACCCCAGGAGGATGGCAACCCCCTGACATTACTTTTCCTAGCAGCTAGGACTGAGATCCTTTGTTATAGAGCAGCTCTGTACCAGAAGTATCCTGAACCCTACTCCTCACCTTACTCCCGAGTGAGACGCCTGGCCCCTTTGCCCCAAAGCCATTTTTCTTGCCCATCTCCTTTCCCCCTGACATTAGTTAGAATGGAAGAGGGTTTGAGTTATCACAATTCTGGCCAGCTTTTAAAGGTGTAAAGAAATATGTGAATATGCCAAGTGTGGTGGCTCACACCTGTAATCCCAGCACTTTAGCAGGTCTAGGCAAGCAGATCACTTGAGCCCAGGAGTTCAAGGCCAGCTGGCAACATGGCAAGATCCCATCTCTACAAAAAATACAAAGATCAGCCGAGAGCAGTGGCATGCATCTGCAGTCCCAGATACACGGGAGGCTGAGGTGGGAGGATCGCCTGAGCCCAGGGAATTGAAGCTGCAGTAAGCCGTGATTGCACCACTGCACTCAAGCTTGGGCAACAGAGTGAGACCCTGTCTCAAAGAAATATATGAATATATATTCATAACATACATGGATTTTATAAAATTTTATAAATGAATATATACATTTTTCTATGTAAGATATATGAAGTTTATAAAATACTTGAAATATATCTTTAAGACATATATGAATAGTATATATGCCCTTGAGCAGATCATTCTTACTCAAAAGCCATGTTTGGTTCTTAAGAGAGAGTACTTGTGGAAGGATGCTCCACAAGAATTGAGGAAAATATTTGTTCATGGATAGGAAACTTGCTTTGGAACAGGAAACAAAGGATACAGATCCATGTGAGTACAGGTCGAGGAGGACAGGGGTGAATATCCGAATGGGAACAGAGGAAATTATCTGCAGTTTCTCAGGTCATTCTGAGATGTTCTTCCACCCCCAGCTGAGAATCTCTAGTCCAGAGGCTAAGAAGCTCTACTGCCTATACAGCTACTGCCTTACCCTCCTAATACTCCAGAAGACATTTCGTGTTTGTTCATAGCCGTATGGGAGCTGTCTTTTCATAGAATGTTAATCTTTTTTTTAAATAAGGAGTTTTTGGTAATTTTGGGGTTTGATCCGTTCATTTTCCCTCCAAATCTTGAGTTCATCATGGCTCTTAGTTTGCCCTGAAGGAAAAGTAACATTCCCAAGCCCCTATTGTTCACACAGGAAGAGATGTATCCCTTTTAATTTAAAAGTTACTTGTTTTAACATAATTAATAAATATCAAGAAAAAATAAGGTTCTGGCTTCCATAAGCTGTGTGGACTGCAGATTCTTGCCAAGGTCCCAACCCCTCCCTGTACACATTCTGGACTGGAGCAAAGTGTGCGGTCTTCAAAAGTCTTACATCAGTCTTCAAACTTCAGAAGGTAACTGAAGGCAGGGAATTCAGAAGCTGGTGCTCTTATCCTGACTGGACACACGGATCCATAATCCCTAACCCCAGTACTTCAGTTTCAGTTTATAGTTTGTACCACTCCCGATGTCCCCTGAACATTTCATGACTTGTCATCCAATGCATATGGCACAATTATCCCTGTGATTGCCAACAATTAGAATGGGCAGGTGGAGGGGAAATGAAATCTGCTACTGGCTCGAGTCTGGGGTTAGCCATTGCCCTTATGACTTGTTAGTACATGCAGGCCTGGAAGGTGACAGGTTAAGGTTGCCAAGGAAAAGGGGGCTCTGGAGATAAGGTCCTGTTCTTTTTCCTTTGCCAGGACTTCTACTTAAATTCTCTCTGGATTAAGAACCACAATTGTTTCCCTAGTTACAGAAAGGCTGTTGGTGTTAGGCAAGAACAGGAAGATGGGTGTGGCAGCCCAGGCACTTAGAACAGTAGGTGTTAGGTGTGTGTGTGCACATGTGACTGGGGGGGGCAGCATGTGCACATGTGTGTGACTGTACTCTTGTGGAGACTCATAATGCCTAGTGGCTTCCCCTTCCCTTGGCAAAATAGCAGAAAAGCATCATCATACTGTATAATATTTCTGTATAAATATTTTACAAATAATATTTTCAGTGTATTCTGCAATGCCTTGTGAGACACTTAGGACAGGCATCTTCATTTTTTCCATAAAAAAGGAAGGTTTAATAATTTTAAAAATACATAAATATTCAAATCAGAAATGCTTTAGAATGTGTTCAACGAAGTCAATACTTCTCACTCAGCAGAGAAAGTAAACTATTTTGACTAGGCACTGTGGCTCATGGCTGTAATCCCAGCACTTTGGGAGGCCGATGGGGGCAGATCACTTGAGGCCGGGAGTTCGAGACCATCCTGGCCAACACGAAGAAACCCTGTCTCTACTAAAAATACAAAAATTAGCTAGGCGTGGTGGCGCTCCCCTGTAGTCCCAGCTATTCGGAAGGCTGAGACACAAGAACCACTTTAACCCAGGAGGCAGAAGTTGCAGTGAGCTGAGATTGCACTACTGTATTCCAACCATGGCAACAGAGTGAGACCCTTCTCAAAAAAGAAAAAAGAAAGTAAACTATTCAATAGGGCAAAAAAAGCAAAGTCTTAAAAAGCAATGGAAAGGTTGGATTTACATTAGCATTGTTTTACAATTTGAGAAGACAAACTGACCTGCTAACAATGTTCAAGCAGTTGGTATTACTGAGACTACAGGTGATTTGTTGAGCATTGAACAAGTTATGAAGCTTGCACATATATGTGTACTGCTGCAATGAAATGAAATGAATGGCAAAATTAGTTTAGCACTCATTAGATGCATAGGCATTATTTGGCTATGTTGTAAAGCATAATAATAAGCATATAACATAAAGGGCTGCCAATTTGGTTGGAGAGAGTGACAATCTAAGACAAACTGTAGAAGATTAAGTATTTGGGGCCAATTAAGTATATCTCAAAAATAAATCCAAGATATTAAGTATGAATTCATAAAGATCAAAATGAGGTCAGAGGCAGATTTCAGGGGCAAAGATAAGAAGATTGGTCTTCAAAAATTTATATATGAAATTATGCAAGTGCTTTAGGAGGCTGGAATATCTAGGAAGTATGTGAAATGGCTTAATGAGAAAAACACAGGACCAGAGATCAAGAGATTGTGCATTTAGCCTCAACTGTCTCTCAGTAGTTGTGTGACTTTGTGCAAATCGTTTACTCCCCCTCTCCAAATTATAATCCCCTCATCTTTGAGGCAAAGGTCTTCATAAGTGGTACTCTTTATCAGACAAATGTAAAAATGCCTGCAGCAGAAATCATTAAATGTGTAGAACTGCTGCTGATGATTTGTTTTTATTAATGATCTGTTGTAATTGATAAATTGTTCTATTTGATAATTTTCATAACAAAATAACAGATTTAAAATTTTTTTTGTTGTTGTTTAGAGACAGGGTCTTACTCCATAGCCCAGGCTGGAATGCAGTGATGCCATCATAGCTCACTGAAGCCTCACACTCCTGAGCTCGAGCGATCTTCCCACCTCAACCACCAGAATAGCTAGGACTACTGGTGCGTGCCACCACACACAGCTAATTTTTTTATCTTTTGTAGAGACGGGGGTCTTGCTGTGTTTACCAGGCTAGTCTTGAATTCCTGGCCTTGAGCAGTCCTCCCATCTCAGCCTCCCAAAGTGCTAGGATTACAGGCATGAGCCACTGTGCCTGACCTAGATTTTTTAAAATAAGAATTTAAGGTACAAATACACCACAATTTATTATTTTTGTTAGTAATGGTGTGACTCATCAGTCTGATTTTTTTAATTGTAGATTTATAAAATTATTCATTATAAAATGTTTTGGTTTTCCTAATAATGTGTTTTCCAGTTTTAAGAGTAACATTTCTATTTTTATTTTTCAAATTCCTTAGCACTCCCGATTTGGAAAAACAACCAAATGAAAATGGAGTATCTGTTCAGAATGAAAATTTTGAAGAAATTATAAACTTACCCATTGGATCTAAACCATCCAAATTAGATGTCACCAATAGTGAGAGCCCAGAAATTCCTTTGAATCCAATTTTGGCCTTTGATGATGAAGGGACACTTGGGCCCCTGCCTCAGGTAGATGGTGTTCAGACACAACAGACTGCAGGTAAGCTTGCCTCCAACTCCCTTCTGTAGTCATCAGAAATATCTGACACCCGGGAGGACACAAACTGCGGCCTTCTACAGTATGATTGTGGTAACACTTTGTTCTTCAAAGGACCAAGTAAGCCACAGTGGAAAAGATTGTGCCTGGCTCATAGAAATTGAATTTTGAGTTGGATTGGACAACTTCTAAGGCCTCTCCTATTCTCTCAGTCAGTGCAGAAATCCCGTCTGCAGCACCCAGTGGGTGTCCATCAGCCTCTCTGCACAGAGCAGTACCCATTACCCAACAGCGTGCATGGTCAGAATATGCTTTGTAGAAAGACAAGGCTGCCTCCCCATACTTATGGACCATTCCGGCCTAGTGCTGCCCACTAGAGAAAGATTTGAGTTTTTCCCATCATTCTCAGGTCTTCATATATTTGAAGACTACCACCATTTTTCTCTTATTTGGGTTTGGCAACCTGAGTAATAAATTATTGTCGTTTTAAAATGTGACATGATGAGTAGTTACAATTTAGGTGATGAAACTAGTACTCTGAATAGGATCACGCTGAGTCTAAAGATCTTTCCTTGTTAAATGATTTGTTGTTGTTGAAACTGCCTGTGACTTTCTTATACAATGTCTCTTTGACCCACACTTGACCTGAAGTCTTCGTGCAAAAAGAACAATCAGGACCCAAAGAAAGAAGGAGTGATATCAAATATCACTAACTCAATGGTCATAGTAGCTCAGCAGCACAGTCCCATCAGTCTCAGGAATTAGCAGGATAATCTCTGCTCCCTGTGTCTTCAAACCTATTTCAATTTTGTTGACTTCTCTTCCCTGAAGATGACTTTCATGTATTGACCAGCATCTCGTTATATTTCTACGAAAAGAACTGGCCAAATTCAGGATAACTAAAGGGAGACAATATAGAATTATTTGTGGGCAAATTGTTTTGCCTTCTAGATTCAATCAGTGAATCTGTAATAAATCAACTTTTAATGCAGTGAGGTAACCAATGTGAACCACCCATCCAAATGAAGCTACTCTTCTTTTCTCGTCTAGTGTACTGTCCTTGGAAGTGGAACCTCACTTTAGTGAACTCCACTTTTCCAGGATTTGAAAGGAGGTTGTAAGGGCCCTCCCCAGTCTGACTTTCTGATTCTTAAGCCTTTGGGAACAATCCGGCTAATGGTATGTTGATGGAAACATGCCCAGTACAGCTTCCTACTCATGTTACAGATTTACAGGGAGGGGAAGAACTTCTAGATGATTTATCGACATTTATTTAACCTCCAACATATGTTTAGAACCCTAAGCATCGGGTACTGAGGATACAAGAGAAATGAATGTTTAAATCCCTAACCGAGAAAAGTACAATCTCTGTATGCCATTTGGAAAAATGAAGGCTATGACCTAAGCTGATGTAAAGAAAAGAACATGTGTTTCCTATGAGTAACAGAATTCACTTAAGACTGTGAATCCTAACAAAATTGCCTATTCTTATATAAGTGTATATAACAGTATAGTAAATTTTAGAAATTTAAGGTATTGCCATAGTATTCTTGAAATAAGATTTTAGATAAATGTCATATTAATCTGTTCTTTTTCTATCTCTTCATATAGAAGTTATATGAGTATTTCTTCTGAAGAACCAAAGCTGAAATTTAATGAGAATTTCTACAATTAATGGAATTCCTTTCATGCTATAAAGGAGCATCCCCTCCGCCAGTTTTCTAAAGAGTTCTTGACCATCATTTTGAAAAGATTTATTAAAACTAGCTAAAGACAACAGACTGGATAGCTTTTCTAATCATTTTCATCAATAGGAAAAAAGAAATACGTCTCATTCTTCAATACTTTAAAATGGCTTTTTCCAGTGTGCTCCTTCTTAGCAATCAATATTTTTCTGCATTCTTTAAAAGACAAGAGAATTTGGTTATAAAAGAAATGGGCTGACTAGGCATGGTTTTTTTGGTCTTAAAAGCTTAACATGTAAAATTGGCAAAAAAATTTTTACCTTTTATAATACTTGAAAAATAAGTACCTCTTTGCTCTACAAGTAGAATGAATAGGGGAAGAGTTTAAACCTGTTTGTTTAAATATTATTGCAAAGAGCTCTATTTGTAGAAGCAAATTATAGGCAGATTACCAGGTTCTTATAAATACAACTTGTACATGGACATTCTGCAAACCCAGCTGTCACGTTTTTCTTGCAACTCCTTTTGCAAAAGCAGACTAAAATGTTTTAAAATGTGAAAAAAGATTATTTTTTCAAAGCAAGAAAATAATTTACTACCCTCTTACATAATGTATTTATAAAGTTTTTCCAGATAAACTAATCGAATAAATTAGAACAATGTGACAACATTACAAATTTAATTTGTTAGCTGCATTCCTTCTGATGTCACCACGAGAGAATGTTACTGGTGATTCAGGGCTATTTCTGAAGTCTGTGTGTTGCTGCTGTCCCCAGTGATGGTGGACTTCTCTTTGCCTTACCTGATCACAAATTATGTTGGGGAAAATAAAGATTTAATATTTCTTTCAATAGAAAAAGAATTTGGTTTTGCTCGTTTAAGAGCAATGAGAAAATAATGGAATGTTGACTGTGTTTGGCACACAGGACACGGACCTTTATGGAAGTCCTTGCTCTGCGTGGCATCTGTCAGCTTTTCACCTGTCATTCTTCTTCTTCACTTTTGCTGCTGAGCCTAGCTGTACAAACTTGCACTTTCATTTGCTAATATAAATTCAATTTTATTTTACCATTTTAGAGACTACTAAAGATTAAATGTAGAAGGAAAGGGTGCACATGTTTTTATGTGGAGTGTTAAAAAAGATAAATTTATACCGCGGTAACGAGCAGCTTTTATGAAGAGAGAAATTGGTTAAACTGCTAGGTTGAATGAGAGACTTCATCTATTGGACTATTTGTTTTAATCCAGGCATATGGTCTTTAGTAACAGCTTGTAATTTGTTAAAACATTAATTTGGGGGTTTTCCCTATTTTCAGTTGTCCATGTACACAGTCATTATATTAAAAAAGAAATCTGTTCAACAAAGTTGTTTAATTTGTTTAAATCAACATAGCATGAAACACCAAATAAAATGTTTGACATAGTTTTACTTTTAGGTTTCTCATATGTTATAACTTCACTCAGATTGATTCTTGAGTCTTCAGATTGTCCTTCATTTAACTCAGTGATTTTCCCAGCCTTCTGTTGATTAAGCATATAGGATAGCTTTATTTAAAATTTAGAGCGGTAGGTCTATTTTGGCTGTTTTTCTTTTTCATGTATGTTTTTAAACTTTGGTGATCATTAGCAAACTGAAAGCCTTCTAAGTCATCAAGTTTTTATTAGAAGTGATACAAAATTCTTAATTATATTGTGTTAAGAGCAGTGCTGCCAGAGAATGACCCTGATCTTTACAATGGCTGGCTTGCTTTTTGGTCAGCACTTGAAAAATCTGTATTTACTTGCAGACCTTAAGGAGGTCTTCAGTATTCACACTACATTAAGGGGAGCGCTCAGGAATCAAATATGGCCCTCAGTATGAAAATAGGGTGAATGGGCTTTTAGTTTCCTTTCTACACCATTGCAAACTAGGCCAATTTAGTCAGTCACCAGTCACGGGTCTGTTTGGCGGTACCTCTAGCTATTACAGGAAGGTAAGGCTATATGTGTCCTCCTACATAACCACACCACCTCGTGGTGTGTTACAGTAAAAGCAAATCTAAAACAGTTATCTTACATGACAAGTTTATTAGCAAGCAGGGCTTCTGGAAAGCTTGGGGAAGTTCCTTCTCTGCTCATAAGTAACCCCACAAACACCTTGACTAAAAAGTTCACAGTGAAGCAGAAGCAGTGATATTCTGAAAGCAGAATTAGGAAACCTGATTGCCTGGTTGGACCAGGTCACAGTCATAAACGTGTGTGGAGTGCTGGAGCGGGAAGGTACAGGGGCAAAGAGATCTCTAGACTGAGGTACTATAAAAAGTCATTATTTTTCAGGATCTGCCAGATTCTTACACTTCATTTCATGCATTTTGCCTCTAAAAGTCTAGACAACCACCTGCTTTTCAGTCTGCATTCACCAGTGAAAAATTAATATCCTTTATACTGATGAACACTGGCGTATATTTAGATAAGTGTTTAAAGCATCTGCCTAGCCACCTGATCAAGGTGCTTCAAATACTATCTAACTTACTCTCAGAAGAAGATTGAAGTTAAATTACACAGCACACATGAATTGCACAATTTATATTTAAAGTATTTTAAAGTAAATTATTGCATAATAAGTAACAATAAATTCTCCCATCTTTTGTATTATATTTTTAAAAATCTGATTGAAATGGACTATTGGCCTTCATCTATTCTGTGCATTGAACACTTAAAGGCATGATGGGGCTGGGTTCAGTGGCTTACACTGTAATCCGAGCAGTTTGAGAGGCCAAGGCAAGGAGGATCACTTAAGGCCAGCAGTTCAAGACCAGCTTGGGCAGCACAGCAAAACCCTCCCCGCAACCCCACCCCCCATCTCTACTGTCAAAAGAAAAAAAAAAAAAAAAGCATGATGGAATAGCTATTGGATCAGGTTACAAAAAGCAATTTTTAAAAATAAGCTAACATCTAAGAAACATCATTTTGCCTATACTCCCTCCCCCTAAATCCTGTTTTTACTCAGTGAACACCTAAGCCCACTCAGAAATGTTCTGGATTGTCATTTTTCTCACCTCCTTTAGCACCTCCTTAGTTTTGGGGAGGAGCTCTGAAGGCCTTGCAAGAAGTGGGAGAGAAAAGGATCAGCATGTGAACAGAAGTGACAATTTTATTGCAAATTAAACATTTTGTTACTAGTTCCTTGGTGAATCTCAATTGGGTTTTTATATTAGTAAGTTTGATTACAATTTTAGAGATGAAAAGTAATTTTAGAAACTAAAAATTGGGAGGCTGAGGTGGACGGATCACCTGAGGTCGGGAGTTCGAGACCAGCCTGACCAAGATGGAGAAACCCCATCTCTACTAAAAAAAAAATTAGCCAAGCGTGGTGATGCATGCCTGTAATCCCAGCTACTTGGGAGGCTGAGGCAAGAGAATCGCTTCAACCTGGGAGGCGGAGGTTGCAGTAAGCCGAGATCACACCATTGCACTCCAGCCTGAGCAACAGAGCAAAACTCCCTCTCAAAAAAAAAAAGTAAAAAATACAAAAATTAGTTGGGTGTGGTGGTGCATGCTGGTAATCCCAGCTACACTGGAGGCTGAGGCACGAGAATCTCTTGAACCTGGGATGTGGAGGTTGCAGTGAGCCGAGATTGCGCCACTGCACTCCAGCCCGGGTGACAGAGTGAGTCTGTCTCAAAAGAAAAAACTAATGCCAAGATTTATAAAGTTCAAAAGAAGTTTTAAAATTGCTGTTTAAAAATATATACAGGCCAGCTGCCGTGGCTCATTCCCCTAGTCCCAAAACTTTAGGAGTCCAAGGTGGGAGGATCGCTTGAGCCCAGTAGTTTGAGACAGTCTGGGTAACATATGGAGACCCTGTCTCTACGAAAATTAGAAAATTAGCCGGGCATGATGGCACATGTCTGTGGTCTCAATCACTTGAGAAGCTGAGGTGGGAGGGTCGCGTGAACCCAGAAGGTCGAGGTTGCAGTGAGCTGTGACTGTGCCACTGCACTCCAGCCTGAGTGACAGAGCCAGACCCTATCTAAACAACAACAACAACAAAAAAACCCTAAAAATTAAAGTATACACTATAAAAGGACTGATGATCACTTTTGAATTACTGGATCTCTAAATACCTTGTGGAAGAGTAAAGGGAGAGGTTCAGAAGGCAAGGTGCTAATGTTGGAAGCAATAGAAAAATGAAGAGCCAGCATCTGCAGTTACACTTAGGTGGTTAAGTATCAGATTTGCCAGTAATTAACCATAGGAAGCTTGGTAAGTTAGTTGAGTTCTCTGTATCTGGTTATTTTCATTGCTAAGTGGGAGAATAATACTCATCTCATGGAGTTGTCTTTTTTTTTTTTTTTTTTTGAGACAGAGTCTCACTCTGTCACCAGGCTGGAGTGCAGTGGTGCCATCTCGGCTCACTGCAACCTCCACCTCCCAGGTTCAAGCCATTCCCCTGCCTCAGCCTCCCAAGTAGCTGGCACTACAGGTGCACGCCACCACTCCCAGCTAATTGTTTGTATTTTAATAGAGACAGGATTTCACCATGTCGGCCAGGCTGGTCTCGAACTCCTGACCTCGTGATCCGCCCACCTCGGCCTTCCAAAGTGTTGGGATTACAGGCGTAAGCCACCATGCCTGGCCCTCATGGAGTTGTCTTAATTATTAAGGTTGAATTAAATGAGTATAAAGTTTCTCAGTAATTTTTCAATAAATGTTAAAACTTTTGTGTTTAAGGCCAGGCATGGTGGCTCACACCTGTAATCCCAGCACTTTGGGAGCCCGAGGCAGGTGGATCACCTGAGGCCAGGAGTTCGAGACCAGCCTGGTCGACATGGTAAAAACGCCATCTCTACTAAAAATACAAAAATCAGCTGGGCGTGGTGGCACACGTCTGTAGTCCCAGCTACTCGGGAGGCTGAGGCATGAGAATCTCTTGAATCTGAGAGGGAGAGGTTGCAGTGAACCAAGATCACACCACTGCACCCCAGCCTGGGCGACAAGAGTGAAATTCTGTCTAAAAAATAAAAATTAAAAAAAAGTGTTTAGTTTGAGATACTTGTGGAAGACAGGGTCTCTGAAAGGCCAAAGAATGGTAGGAATCTGCCCCTGTAAGTGGGATCTTCACTGTCATTAGTCTTTTTTTTTAAGATGTCCATTCTAGGTAGTATTATACCAAGCAAACTAATGGATGTGAACTGTTTTCTTCAGGGCAGTATTGCAAGTTTAGAATTTGTAATCATTGAGTTGCTACCATATTACCATTTCACAATCACTTCCCTTTCCATTTCTCCCAAAATGTTTTCTTTCCAAAAAGAATTTTATTTTTATTTTCACATATTTGGAGGCTTTTTTTTGACATCCTTTGACACAATTAGAGTTACCTTGTTGGCTGCAAATATAGGGATGCTTAACTGCTTTTCCAGAAGTTAGTTGACACTGGCTAGCCTCCAGGAGGTGCTACAGGAAGCTGGGGCAGTGAAAAGTTTCTAAAGCAGTTTCCAAGAGGACCGTGAAGCACATCTCGTTCAGCTGTGTCTAATGATTCCTTCTCCTCCGTAAGTGGAGCTGCCTTACCAGAAGGTGTTATCAAAAAAGAGATGGGGTCAGGCACGGTGGCTCACACCTGTAATCCCAACACTCTAGGAGGCCAAGGCGGGTGGATCACTTTAAGGTCAGGAGTTCCAGAGCAGCCTGACCAACATGGTGAAACCGCGTATCTACTAAACATACAAAAATTAGTGAGGTGTGGTGGCACACATTTGTAATCCCAGCTACTCGGGAGGCCTAGGCAGGAGAATCGTTTGAACCTGCGAAGTGGAGGTGGCAGTGAGCCGAGATTGCACCACTGCACTCCAGCCTGGGTGACCAAGCAAGGCCCTGTCTCAACAACAATAACAAATGGATCGGGAAGGCAAGGATTTGGAAGCCCTTGTTGGATGTGAGGGTCAGGAAAGGCATCCTTCGGTGCTTCTCTTGCTAGTTCCAGAGTCGTCCTTCTCCCTCAGAATGATTGGCAAGAAGTTGTCTCACTCTGAGCTGCACCTGCCCTACACTGTCATTCATGTCCTCAGCTGACATGACCTCTGGCTAGTGGAGCATCAGTGTCCCAGGCTTTTGGGTTTGGGGAGGGTTGGAAAGGTAAGTGGGGTCCCCACATCAATGACTGACATCATTTTGCCATGGCAGCAACAGTGGAAATAAAAGGCCACGCTAGGTAACTTGTTTCCCCAGACTGTACATCCCACGTTGACATATCTGAGGGCTCTTGTCAAAAGCCAGCCCTGCCCCAGTATGTGGCAACCAGAAGTGCCAGGAAGTTAAGACCTGGGAAGCAGCTTTCAATCAGTGACACAGTCTCTAATATGGTTCCTGCTGCTGCCTGGGGTGTGCATTTACTTGTATACTTACACTTTTGCCCAGAGCTGCTTCACCAGATCAAGCATCTGTCCC